CTTTATAATGAACTCTCACAAGAAGCAATTTTTGGAAGTGTCCCAGATACATGCAGCTACATTTTCTATGGTCTCACTCCTGGGTCACAGTAGGGGATGTTCAGATCCAGATGACCCAGGGGCTTCGTAAGTGCCGCTGCCTTTGTGAGGGTGGTCAGGTTCATGATCATTCCAGGAACGGGATCTGTCTTTGTACTTGTGTCCCTGGCCATGTGGATTGGTGAATATCCCAAACAAGTACAAGTCTCTCCTCAGGTTTGCTGGGCGCTCTCCCTTTGCCTGTGCCTGGCTGGCATCCACACAGTGTAGTGACCAGGAAAGCCGTTTCCCCAGGGACAGACACTCCACAGCCATGTTGTCCCATAGAGGAAAACAACTTCCAGACAGCTATCCAATAGTGCTGTGCCAGACCCAGTAGATGAGGATGTGAAACACGCTAACATCTTTCATAGCAAACGTGGGTGACACAGCTCCAGGCTCTAAATATTTTTGTGCTTTCGAGTTTCTCAAACTCAGTCGCTGTATTGACATCTGTGACTCTTCAAGCCTCCCCTGAGTCCAGAAGCTGGACTTGCCACCGCCTGTTCCCTGTGGTCTCACAATCTCTGCCATTTGTTTCCAATGACCAGTTCAACCAAGCAGGCTTTCTCTCAGCTCAGCATTCATCATTAAACTTCAAAAGGAAGACCACCATCCTTCCATTTTTTTTCCCACCATAATTTCATGCTGGCAACACTTTACATGTGTATTTCCAATGTCAATAAATATATTTTAGAGTGTGCAAATTTATTTTGCAGAGCGTGCTCCCTATAGTTTGATAAATCCTCCCCCTACCATTTATGTGATAAGTGCAAGTCACCCAGTGCCTCCAACTTCATTTCCTTCACCTGGAAAATGGGGATCAAATTTATAGTGCAGCAGTGAAGGAAAAGTGAGTTAAAATGGTAAGACTTGCATAGCAAGTATTTAATGATTTTGCTATTATCATTGTTTTCATTACTACCAAGTTAGTTTTTACTTGTTAAAGCACACACAGTTGGTTATTTTTTACAAAATTTTCTAGTACAAAAGTTAATGTTTTACATGTAATTAAAAATTTGAAATCCTCTCTCAGGAAATAAACTGAATATTCTCTTAAGGGATTTTCAAATCATTTTTGTCACACAGTTTAGTAGGTTTCTACTAACTAACTTTGAATTTAAAGGATTCTTTTTGCAATCCCAAAGGTATTATTTCTTTCACTTTGAACAAGTTGGCCGGGCGGGGTACTTCCAAACCAACCCTGTTCTCACACGTGCCCTTGATGCTCTTCTCCCAGTCCTTGGATGAAACCCCAGGCCCTCTGGTTATCTCCAGTAACAAGAGGAGGTCTGATTTCAGTGGTTAAATCACGAAGTCCAGCGTGCCTGTCCAAATTCCACGTTGCATTTCACCACAAACTTCTCTCCTCCGGGAGGACAGCTGCCTTGGACGAGAATGAAGCTGAGTGCGAAGCCACTGGAGTGCAGGGCACAAGCAGCACGTGGCGTCTCCGGTTGCACTGGGTGCTGCCTCCTCTTCCTCCCAGCACAGTCCACTACCCTGGCCTGCTCCCCCAGCTTACTGAGCTTGAATTGTGACCTCTCCTGGACATCCAGGGGGGTGGGCGGAGGGGAAGGATCGGAGCAAGAAACGTCCTGTGCGGGGACCGCACTGCTCCAAGCCCACAGTGAGGCCGCAGGGACCTGGCGGGGCTTCAGGTGGCACTTTCTCTTGCAGGCATTTCGTGCCATTTCTGGAGTCCCCGAGCCTGCAGTTCCTTGGCGGGGGCCAGCGCCTCGTCTGGCCGTCCCCACAGTTCCTCCATCACAGGGCAATGCTCCTGCTGTCACATCTCCTCCCCTCTCAGGGCAGCTCTCTCTCTGGCTGGGCCACTTTTGGTCAGCTTGGACACCTTTTGCCGCGACGCTGGGGAGCACTTCTCCGGAATGCAGCCTCTCCTTCGCTGCGCGGCACTTTGGCCAGCCCCTTCCCCAGCAGGTCCGGAAGATGGTCCTGGGCTCCCCAAGTGCCAGGGAGACACAGACACGTTTTCAAAGTTGGCTGCTGATGCCCCCTGTTGGGGTAGGTGTGGGGGCACACTGGCAAACCTGAAAATAAAACAAAAGTCCTATTCCATCTCCACTCTTTGGGCCTTCCCCAATTTCCTGTGTGTCACCTGAGGCGCACAGCGCACCGCCCCTTCTGTCCAAGTGCTGTTCCCCAGAAGCCCCTCAGCCTCCTCGGGTTTATGTGAGGCCTTTGAGCTGCTCTACAGGAATCTGAACTTATTTTTCTTTTTATTTTCAATTAACTTTGTTACCACTTTTACCTGTTCATTTAAAACAGCATTTCTCATTCCCAGGAAAAAGAAGTAAGAGATAAACTTGTAAAATTTTATATAATTTGGAAATGTAGGGACTTAGGCTTGGCTATTATTATTTATTTATGTAATATTGACACTTACCTATAAAGTCATTTGGCCATTTTTTGCCTTGTTTACAAAATGCAAAATACATGTTAAGAATTAGCTGTGAAAACGGCAATATTGGCGGGGTCACATGTGTAATTTTTTTATGTTAAAATCTCTATTTTGAGATAGGAAAGAAGAGATTGGGGTTTTTTGGCAGGAAGGTAAGTACAGCCTTAAGGTCATATTAGGTGGAAGCATTTAGATTTGGGGTTCACCTGACCTTTACTTGATGTTTCTTCCAGGCTGGTAAAAAGTTCTAAAAGCTTAGAAACAGAAACCAATTGAGAATTAAAAGCCAAGTCATTGAAATGAAGATCCACGTGAGAAGTTTGTCATGCCCTCCTACACCTCTGATAAGTGGAAACAGATCCTGTGTGGAAAGCATGCCTTCGGAGGCTTCAGCGAAACGAGCGGGAAGACACAGATCCCAGATTTCAGACTGGCCCACCTGCAGGTTTCTCATGGAGATGCTTAATGCTGAGAGTGACCAGGTTTCCCAGGAAGCCACGGAGAAACTGCAAGCTGCCAGTGGCTGTTCTCACTGCTGTGCTTGGCCGTGTTATCCTTTGGGCAAGAAATACAATCAAGATTAGTTGCCCAGGTACGAAGACCACATTCCAGCTCCTATTCACCTGCTGGTGAGTTCCTCTATATTGTGGGTCAGGTGACATTTTAGGGGACAGTGGTCCTCTGGAGGTGTGGGAAGGATGAACTGTTTTCTGAGTGATTTTGCAGCAATGAAATTTCATCCAACAGAGATATGAGGAAAACAAATGTCCTAGTAACTGCCTAGTAGGGAAAACGTCCCAAACTATTTTTATTTAGGGAAATAGTCTGTATTTGTGTGAAAAAATGTTTCATGGAAGATCCGCGACTAGAGGAAACGATGCATCTGGGCCTGGAAAGTAATATTGCTGCTTCACGATTTTGTTGTGGGCTCCCAGGCCTTGTGTGGCTGTTGCCATCTTTGTCTCCAGGCCAAGGGCCTGTTTGTCAGGTCCAGGACATCCCAGGGGGCTATTGGTCTGTAGGCAGGTGCTCTTACCCACTTCTGTCCCTTGCTATCCGCATGGACACATGGCATCATCTACAAGGGAGAGGTGTTGATTTTATTAACTAGCTCTGTTTCACAGGACAGAGTTCATACAGTCTGTCATCATGTTCACTACTGCCTTCTTTCCAATCTCTAGGTAGAAGGAGATAACCAATGTTCAAATCATCCTACTTACATAACAAAGCACATGAATTGTTTTCTGTAACAGTGGTCTTACTTTGATAGCCAACTGAGTCTGTTAGAGACCTGACTGGAGGTTGCAGGGACATGAGGATGAAGCATTGATAGCTGGTGAAGCCACTCCTCATAGATTTGAGTCATCTCATAGAATTGCAGAATTGAAGACCATTTGAAGGCCACCTTGTCCAGTCTGAGGTTGCCCGAAAAGAGAGTGACCTGACAAGGGAGAGTTGGCAGTCACATACTAATAGTAGCACCGTCCTTTGATGACATCATTCTCTGGGGTGACAGATGTCTCATCCAAAAATGACTGAAAAGTGCAATCATTTTATGAAACTAGAAAGAAGGTTGAATGTGTTTATTCAGGTCTAACATAATTTTAAAACCGTCTCTAATGCAAAAAATAGACACTTTTATATTTTCACTCATTCCTTTACGCTGCTGTAAATCTTCCCATGTATGACCACCTCCTAGTGGACTGGCCACACCAATTCAGTGATGCTGTACTGTGTATTGCAGAGCAATATCTCTCAAAGTGGATAATAAAGAACACTGTTTTATAAAAAGATTCTGTGGAAAGAAGGTGGACATTTGGGTTACGCGAAGCTATCTGTTTGTGTTTCATTCTTTCAGTGTGTGTGTGTGTGTGTGTGTGTGTGTGTGTGTGTATAAGTATAAAAATGCTCACAGACTTCACAATGCTGCAAGGAGAACATATTAGTCAGCATATTGCCCAAATCTATCTGAGTTTCAGCACTTGTCTTTCATTGCTTTTTCATGGGAAATTCCAGGAATTTTGGGGTCACTGTTTAAGAAAGGTTTTTGTTTCTAAAGCAAACAACAGATACTAAGTATATACCATAAACAGAATAAAGTTTAAGTCAAAATAAAATGAGATGATCCTCCAAGTTTTTCATAACTTGAATTAGACCAAAGTAAATTTACATTTTAATGTGTATAAAATGTTTTTGTCCTCAGTAACAAGATGTAAGTGATCGATCCTTATTTGAAGAAATTCAGAGAAAAAGTTATTTTTATGCCCTAGTGTCAGCCTCAAGTGTTTGGTGAAAGAAAAAATATGTGTTATCTTCCCAAGAATAAATTATAATTTAAAACATAATAATTGTCTTTATTTCTTGAACAGTTTAATTCACAGCAAAACTAGGGGAAAGTTACCCATATGCCCCCTACCCCTCCACACACATAGCCTACCCCACTATCAACATCCCACACCAGGCTGGTATGTTTGTTACAACTACTGAGCCTAGATTGACACATTATCACCCAAAGTCCACAGTTTACATTATGGGTCACTCTTGCTGTAATAAGTCTATGGATTTGGTCAAATGTACAATGACATGTATATATCCATGACTATGGTACCATACGGAATAGTTTTACTGTGCTAAAAATCCTGTGTTCCTCCTTTCCCCAAGCCCCTGGCAACCACTGATCTCTCTACTGTCTCCATAGTTTTGTCTTTTACAGAAGGCCGCATCATTGGAATCATACAGTATGCAACCTTTTCAGAGTGGCTTCTTTCACTTAGTAATATGCATTTAAAAGTCCTCCATTACTTTGCTTGCCTTGATAGCTATTTTCTTTACTTTTTTGGACTAAACTATATTCCATTGTGTGGATGGACCACAGTTTGTTGATCCACTCACCTACTGAAGGGCATCTCGGTTGCTTCTAAGTTTTAGCAGTTGTGAATTAAGCTGCTATAAACATCCGTGTGCAAGTTTTTGTGTGGGTGTAAGTTTTCAACTCCTTTGAGTAAATACTAAGAAGTGAGACTGGTGGATTACATGGTAAGAGTATGTTTACTTCTATAAGAAACTGCCAAACTCTCTTCCAAAGCGATGTACGTTTGGGCATTCCCAACGGAAATGAATGCGAATCTCTAATGCTCCGTGTCCTCGCCAGCATTTGGTGTTGTCAGTGATCTGGATTTCGGTCATTTTAATAAGTATATAGTGGTGATTCATTTTTGTTTTAATTTGTGATTCTCTAATAATATACAATGGTGAAAATCTTTTCATATGCTTTCATATGCTTGTTTTGCAGTGTCTGTTCAGACCTTTGGCCCATTTTTTAAAAATCTAATGTCTTCTTTCCTTCCTGTTGAGTGTTAAGGGTTCTTTGCATATTCTGGATAAAAATCCTTTATCAGACGTGTTTTTTGCAAATATTTTCTAACAGTTTATCACTTGTCTTCTGTCTCTTGACATTTTGTTTTGCCGAGCACAAATACTTAATTCTAATGAGATCCAGCTTACCAATTATTTCTTTAGTTGTGGATTGTGCCTTTGGTGTTGTGTCTAAAAGACCATTGCCATACTGAAAGTTATTTAGGTTTTCTTCTATATTATCTTCTAGAAGCTTTATAGTTTTTCATTTTACATTTAGGTCTGCAATCCATTTTAAGTTAATTTTTGTGAAGGGAAAAGGCCTGTGTCCAGATTCATCTGTTTTGCCTGTATGGCCAGTTGTTTCAGCAACATTTATTGAAAAGAGTATCTTTTTTGTTGTATTACCTTTGCTGCTTTGTTAAAGATCAGTTGTCTGTGGGCCGGGCGAGTGGCTCAATTGGTTAAGAGCTCGCTCAAGAGTTTGAGCTCTGAGCAACAGCGGTTCGAGTCCAGCCCGAGCTGAGCAGCCGCTGAGCTGCCAACAGGTAGCAG